ATTTCAAGGAGACTACCCCTGTTTCCCAAAAAATAAGACCCAGCTGGAAAATAAACCCATAGCATGAGTTTTCAGGATGCTCGTAATATAAGACCTACCCCCCAAATAAGCCCCAGTTAAGATTGTCAGCCAGACAAACACATTTAATACCGTATTTCTCACGAAAATAAGACCTAACTGGAAAATAAGCCCTAATGTGTCTTTTGGAGCAAAAATTAATATAAGACCCAGTCTTATTTTTTAGGAAACATCAGTGGTGAAATCCAATTTTTTTTACTACCGGTTCTGTGGGCATGGCTTGGTGGGCCTGGTGTGGCTTGGTGGGCATGGTTTGGTGGGTGTGGCAGAGGAAGAATACTGCAAAATCCCCATGCCCTCCCCACTCCTAGGAGAAGAATATTGCAAAATCTCCATTCCCACTCCACTCTGGGGCCAGCCAGAGGTGGTATTTGCCAGTTCTCCGAACTGCTCAAAATTTCCGCTACTGATTCTCCAGAACCTGTCAGAACCTGTTGGATTTCACCCCTGGGAAACATGGTATTTCAAAATAAATAATTCAAATAGAAACTGTGATTATTTCATATAAAAACTGGTTTATTTCTGCTTCCTGATCTGGCTCCTTCCCCTTTCTTTGATCCCATGATTGCTGAGAACCATTTCTGGGTTAACACAGGGTAGAACAAATAACGATGCACTTTGTGGCTGCTTTAAAGCAAGTGGGACTTTCGGCAGCTCAGATGTGACCTTTGGATTAGACTCTGATTTGTTTCCTTGACATGACTAGTTCCCTTTTCCTTCCTTCCGTTCTTTTAAACATTTAGCCATGTCCGACTCTGGATGAGTTTCTAGGCAATTGTTCTCCATGCTACCCTGTCCAGCACAAATTCTTTCAGTCGTTGGATGTCCATTTTTGTATCAGGTTTTTAAAAGCCGAGGTGGTGCAGTGGTTAAGAGTACAGTACTGCAGGCTACTTCAGCTGACTGCTAGCTGCAGTTCGGCAGTTCAAATCTCAAAGCTCAAGGCTGATTCAGCCTTCCATCCTTCTGAGGTAGATAAAATGAGGACCCAGATTGTTGTGGGCAAGAAGCTGACTCTGTAAACAGCTTAGAGAGGACTGTAAAAGCACTATGAAGTAGTATATAAGTCTAAGTGCTATTGCTATTTGATGTTATCAAGCCAGGTTGTTCTTTGCTTGCCCCTTCGTCTTCCATTAACCATTCCTAGTACCCACGCCTTCTCCAATGAGTTCGCACCAGTGGTGGGTTGCCCTCAGTTCGCACCGGTTCTATAGAACCAGTAGTAAATCCAGCAGGAGGCTCCGCCCACCGACTCCGATGTCATCAAAATGCTTCTGCACTTGCGCAGAAGAGCGCGCGCACGCGGCCCCATTGCAAACCGGTAGTAAAGGTAAATAGAACCCACCCCTGGTTCGCACACATAACATGGCCAAAATAAATCAGATGTAGTCTTATGATTTTGGCTTCTAGTGATGTTTCTGGTTTTAAACGATTTAGCACCTCTCTGTTGGCTGCTTTTGCTGTCCATAGTATATGTAATTATTTACGCCACACCAGAGTTCAAAGGCCTCAATTCCTCTTCAATCAGCTGTTCTTAGTGTCCAACCCTCACACGTCATACGGAAGACTTGCTCTAACTAGCCTACTTTTATAGTTATTTTCCTTTCTTTACTATCCAGGATTACTTTTAGGTGGTCTGAAATGCTAGAATGGCTGCCCTTTATTCACCACGGAACACAGCCTCACGTTCCCACAATTCTTTCATGATTTTGACTTTCCTGTAAAATCCACAAAGAAGAAAGACGAGAATAAATAAACATGAGGAGACCTGAGTCTCCATCATTTTATGTAGCTTTTTTTTTTTATTCCGGAAATCAGATACATATTCTGGATTTTATACCAATAAAGTAAGCTAATACAAAAATTTGGCAACTAGCCACGGAAGAGTTGATTTCCCCCGCCCTCCTAAAATACCATCCTTGTTTATTCGGAGTATACATTAGAAGCTGTGGTTAACTTAAAGAACAATAAAAACCATCTGGCATGTACAGAGGAACAGGAGTGCCTTTGAGTTGTCTACAATAAAAAAGCCAATGATTTCACAGGGCCTTGTGCATCATCCAGGTGCAAAGGTGTTGCTCAATATATGATTTTTTTTTAAAGGTGGTGTGGAAAGTAGCTGTGAAAAAAACCCAGACTGGAAACATTTCTCAGACTGAACTGGAAGAAGCAGGACATTTTCTTGGCTTCCTTTCCCAACTCATCTCCCAAGCTTTTCTGATGTCCTGCACATTAACCTTTTTTTTTTTTAAATTTGATTTATATGCCGCCCTTCTCCGGAGACTCAGGGCGGCTTACAATGCGTTAAGCAATAGCCTTCATCCCTTTGTATATTTTATACAAAGTCAGTTTATTGCCTCCACAATCTGGGTCCTCATTTTACCTACCTTAGAAAGGATGGAAAGCTGAGTCAACCTTGAGCCTGGTGAGATTCGAACTTTCAGTAATTGCAGGCAGCTGGTCTTAATAATAGCACTGTTAATAACAGTGCTTTAGTCTGCTATACCATTGGCATATATTTAAAGCTTTAGGATGGCCAGGCCATCCTTTTCTCTAATGAAGCAAAGGGATACGGGACAGAAACAAATATTTTCATCCAAAGAAATTCTGGTTGTAATTCAGCCCAGTCTGAAATTAGAAAGCAGTGATGAGCTACTGGATGGAAAGCTGACTGAGGTCCAGGGTTTTAAGAGGACAACAGAACAACAGAGTTGTTCAAGCAGGAGATCCTATGCCATTTCAGACAAACTAGAGCCTGGTGGCGCAGCAGACTAAAGCACTGTTATTAACATCAGCTGCCTGCAATTACTGCAAGTTCAAATCTCAACAGGCTCAAGGTTGACTCAGCCTTCCATCCTTTCTAAGGTAGGTAAAATGAGGACCCGGATTGTGGGGGCAATAAGCTGACTTTGTATAAAATATATACAAAAGTATGAAGGCTATTGCTTAACGCATTGTAAGCCGCCCTGAGTCTCCGGAGAAGGGCGGCATATAAATCAAATTTTTTTAAAAAATGGTTGTCCAATCTCTCCTTTTAAACCTCCAATGTTGGAACACCCAACATCAGCCATTCCACTGATTAATTGTTCTGACTGTGAAGAAATTTCTCCTTAGTTCTAGGTTGCTTCTCTCCATGCGTAGTTTCCATTCATTGCTTCTTGTCCTGCCTTCAGGTTTTGTGGTGTTGTTGTTGTTCGGTTTGGGTTTTCTTTCTGTCCTGATGTTTCTCCAGCAGCTGTGGCTAGTATCTTCAGAAGCAGAATGAGCTGTTTTGCAGTATATCTCTTGCAAGCTCACAGGCGAAAATGCTATGATGAAGCACCACAAAACAGCTCACTCATCATTCAACCCAAAAGCTCATCAGTGGTTCATTGATGCCAGCCATTAAAAACTACACCAATATAATCTATGCTTCCTTTTGGGCGAAACAGCAAGAACAGCCAATATTATTTCCAGGAAGTCTAATGTTGCCTGCCTAGTAATTTATTAAGTGATCCTCAAGTTCACTCAAAACTTGTGAGGAATTTTTCACATTCCAGCTGTGGAATTTCAGTGTTTGAAAGATCTTTTAGTTTCCACTAAATTTATGTTAACAAAGCACAGTGGGGGGAAAAAACTTTCTCTTGTTGATTTTGCTTATCTCCAGGATAGGAAATCTTGCTATGTGAAAAATCTTGGTTTTGTTCTTTTGTTTTTTTAATACAGTAGCTACATTAACTTGATGTTCCAACAGTGGAAGAAGTAACTATAAGCAACATTGTCCAATCGGTGCAGAATTTCCCCTCCCTTAATCCTCAAAGAACATGGCCTTCATCTGGATTACGGGAGTGGAAGGTCCAAAACTTTCACTCCCATAATCCACAGTTTGAGAATGATCCATTAATGATCTAGCATGATGACAGCAAAAACAACACAGCTGATTACAAGTGGGAGACGCTGGAAGGGCCTATTACATGCGCAAGGGCCAAATTGATTAATGGCATATAAAGGCAGAGATCTCTGTAATGGTAGTTTAATACTCTGATGATGTCAGCACGATGGCTGACGAAAGCTTAGTTAAATAAAATTTTAATTATTTTAAAAGTTTAAAAGTTTAGGTTCCGGAGCTTACAGGATGTCTGCTTCTTTCTTTACTAATATACCTGGAACTCATATTTTTCAAATAGTTTGATATATATATATATATATATATATATATATGGTGGCTCAGTGGCTAAAACGCTGAGCTTGTTGATCGAAAGGTTGGCAGTTCAGCGGTTCGAATCCCTAGTGCTGCGTAACGGGATAAGCTCCCCTTACTTGTCCCAGCTTCTGCCAACCTAGCAGTTCGAAAGCACATAAAAATGCAAGTAGAAAAATAGGGACCACCTTTGGTGGGAAGGTAACAGTGTTTCGTGTCCCTTTGGCGTTTAGTCATGCCGGCCACATGACCACGGAGACGTCTTCGGACAGCGCTGGCTCTTCGGCTTTGAAATGGAGATGAGCACCGCCCCCTAGAGTTAGGAACAACTAGCAAATATGTGCAAGGGAAACCTTTACCTTTACCCAGTTTAACCGTGAGAATGCCTGGAGAGAGGAATGGTCCATGGTACCTTCTTGTGGCCCGACGTGGAGGCTCAGGGAGGGTGAAAAATGGCCTACCAGAAGTTCAGGTGGGCCAGAAATGGGCCCGTTTCCAGCCTCCAGAGGGCCTCTGGAGCCTGGAGAGGCCATTTTCGCCCTCCCGGAGGCTCAAGGAAAACATACAGAGCCCAGGAAGGGAAAAAACACCCCCCCATGGTGCAGGAGTAGGCCATACCCACCATGGCCACGCCCACCCAGCAACCGGGCAGAGAACCCCTTGCTAAAATTTTTGAAGCCCACCCCTGATTTACAACGTTGTACCCGAAAAGAGTTTGAACACCCAGCTCTGGACAACAGTCTCACCCGTTATTCCAAGTTTTATTAAATAAGGCACAATTTGCTGAATTAAAAACCACATGCTGACACACTTTTAATTATGATCTGTAAATCACAATGCAAACCACAAAACGCTAAGCCCAAAGCAAACAAGCCCTGTGGAAACCCCGCCAGTGGTGCAAATGGAGGTTCTACGGTGCAGAACTTTGCAGGAGATCTATTGAGGTCCTGAGAAGTTGAGGTCCTTCTTCATGTGTCCTGCTTCTTTCTGACCAACCTAGCAGAAAAGAACAGGGATTACATTGGAAAATTGCTCATGTTTATTATTACCCGATCAACCCAACCTTCACAGATAGTAAGTATTTGCACACCTACCTAGAAAATCCCTAACTGCTTTCTCCTGTTGATATCTCTCTTGAGCTGGCAAAGGTTACAAGGACCACAGAAAGTGACCGTGAGACAGTCTGAGCAGATCGTTCCCTGAGGAGCAAAAAAAAGAGAGAAAGAAATCACAATCCTGAATCCAGTTCTATATTTTGAAGGATAGTTTACTGTATACAATGAAAGCAGTCCGAAAGCTGGCTCTGAGCTGTATTTATCTGGAGATTTCTGTCTTCCCTGTCGTAATCTTAGGTGTGATGGATGTTGTTTCTCTGTGAAACCCACGAAAGACACAGTCCAACCTCATTAAACTGGACAGACCATAAGACAAAGCAGCTGATATGGGATGTAATAGATACTTTGGAGCAGGTTTCAAGTCAACACATCCCATATACATTCCTGGAAGATGGACTGAGCAAGACAGAACACGTTTGGAAGCTCTGAGATAAGCAAAGTATCACAACGGAATGCAACACCTAGTAAATCTTGGCAGATAGCAAAAAGACCAAGCAGACCTGGACTAGATTGGCTGAAAATTGGTTGGGGAAACTCAAACAACATGTAACATTTAACATGGACATTTAACAGAATAACAGAATTGGAAGGGACATTGGAGGTCTTCTAGTCCAACCCCCTGCTCAGGCAGGAAACCCTACACCACTTCAGAAAAATGGTTGTTGTCAGGTTTCGGTGTCATCTCAAATAAATTGCATTTCCAAACAAATAGTCTTTGATGAAATCTTTCATTTATTAAGCACGACAATCTGTCCCCAACTCTGTCGTAGCCAACACTGACTTCCTGACCCCAAACCTTCCCTTTCCGTTCCCCAATTCTCTGTGTCTCATTGGCCATCTTCCAAATCACTCTCCCCATATCTACTACTTCAGCTCCCAGGAATGTCCCCCCTCCCATCCCATCTCCTAGGGGATATTATCTTCAGGGAAAATAAGTAGGTGAAAAGTCAAGCATCCTCTTGCCAGCTGCTTGCTCTTGCTCTTCTCCTCCTTATGTCAGCACTGGAACGAATGTAGTTTGGAGTGCTGACAGTTGTCCAATCTCAATGGAATGGAATGGAATGGAATGGGGATGGAATAGAATAGAATAGAATAGAATAGAATAGAATAGAATAGAATAGAATAGAATAACAGAATTGGAAGGGACCTTGGCAGTCTTCTAGTCCAATCCCCTGCTTAGGTGGGAAACCCTCTACCATTTCAGACAAATGGTTATCCAATCTCTTCTTAAAAGCTTCCAGTGTTGGAGCATCCACAACTTCCGGTGCTTTGGAGAATAGCTTGGCCCTCTCTTCTTTGTGGCAGCCCCTCAAATATCGAGACACTGCTATCATGTCACTCCAGTCCTTCTTTTCATTTGGATAATTCCTAGCTGACTTTTCCCCCCCCAGCATTCCCTCATTCAATTCCTACATGCAGATCACAGCAAGTGCACACCCCAATCAGATCAGCTAGCAAAAATTACTGCTGGATAATTGTTTCTTAAACATCAGCAAACATCGCAAAGATATTGATAAAATGAAGCAAAAGGCAAAAGCAGGGAAAGGGACATGAACTACAAAGAGATTAACAGGTCAAAGTACTTGACATGTTATCAGATAATAGATAACTCTGTGGATAAAGAACAGAGAGAGTTCCAAAGGGAGGGGCTTTTTGTTATTCTAGCTTTAATCCTTTGTGTAGCAATAGCTAGCAGAACACAGGTGGGAAGTAGGAAACCAGGTCATCCCTCTTTTTTTTCTTCTTTTTTTTTCTTTTTCTTTTTTTTAAATTTGATTTATATGCCGCCCTTCTCTGGAGACTCAAGGCGGCTTACAATGCGTTAAGCAATAGCCTTCATATTTTTGTATATTTTTATACAAAGTCAGCTTATTGCCCCCACAAACTGGGTCCTCAATTTACCTACCTTAGAAAGGATGGAAGGCTGAGTCAACCTTGAGCCTGGTGAGATTCGAACTTACAGTAATTGCAGACAGCTGGTGTTAATCACAATGCTTTTAGTCTGCTGAGTCACCAGGCCCTGCACTTTGTAAAGGAAATAATTTGGTAGGTGTCCAATGAGAAGGAAATAGGAAACCAGTTACGTGTTGCTATCGAAAGAACCTGACAATCTGTCAGCCCCGGAGGCCATCTTTTTCTTGGGATCTTCAGGACTGCCACATTTAGTGCTGTGGGAAACTGGGAGGGGGGATTGCATGGAGTTGCAGGGATATCTAGTCTAAACAACATTCCTTTCTCAGAGAGTCAAGGACGTTTGGCCTGGACCTGGAGTGGCATGACTGGGAGGCATCTCCAGTTGGAGATGGACCATTGATTGGACCATGTGATGGACATGTGGGTGCAGGGAAGGGACTTGGGCTTTCTTTTGGGTGGAGAAAACCCGGAAGCTTTCAGATTCGGGTTTTCCCAGATGTGCCAATATGACATCTCTAATAAAATCAGCCTTGGTAGTACAGTGGTCTAAGGCACCCTGTTATTAAGCTGGTTATTAAGACCAGCTGCCTGCAATTACTGCAGGTTCAAATCTCGCCAAGGCTCAAAGTTGACTCAGCCTTCCATCCTTTCTAAAGTAGATAAATTGAGGACCCAGTTGTGGGGGCAATAAGCTGACTTTGTATAAATATACAAAAGGATGAAGGCTATTGCTGAGCACATTGTAAGCCGCCCTGAGTCTCCGGAGAAGGGTGGCATATAAATCAAATTTTTTAAAAAAATGGAACTTTCATTCCAAAGTGCATGTAAATCATTACATTGGGTGGAGCAGGTGGTGCATACGTGTATGGCAGGGACAATCACCAGTGGAGTGACCATGACTTTTATACACCTGAAACTGAGAACTTTGAAACCTATCATGAAACAAATGGGTGCCTTTTTTTTTACAGTGGAACTATTTTGTAATATCTCGTGGTAGACATAGTTAATTTCTGGTCAGAGTGAGGTTGGAGGGAACAGATAACTGAGACACTTTGTCCTTCAACTCTAACAAAGCCAAACAAGAGTGGACTAATCTCAACTTCTTCTTCATCCTGTTGGTCTCCGTTCCTATGTGGTTCTATGGAGCATTCTTTAGCCGTGGTCCGTGGTTAGAGATAGTGGAAGGACTTCTAACAAGACATCTGCCCTCTTCTTCATACATCTCTAACCATCCCATTGTTGTCCTCTTCTCTAAACCTCTCACAATACTAGACAACACAGTATCAACAGTAGAGACCTTCAAATTTCTAGGTTCTACCATATCGTAAGATCTAAAATGGACAGCTAACATCAAAAACGTCATCAAAAAAGCACAACAAAGAATGTTCTTTCTGTGCCAACTCAGAAAGCTCAAACTGCCCAAGGAGCTGCTGATACAGTTCTACAGAGGAATTATCGAGTCTGTCATCTGCACCTCTATAACTGTCTGGTTTGGTTCTGCAACCCAACAAGACAGACACAGACTTCAGAGGATAATTAGAACTGCAGAAAAAACAATGGCTACCAACCTGCCTTCCATTGAGGATCTCTAGACTGCACGAGTCAAAAAGAGGGCTGTGAAAATATTTACAGACCCCTCGCATCCTGGACATAAACTGTTTCAATTCCTACCCTCAACACGACACTATAGAGCCCTGCACACCAGAGCAACTAGACACAAGAAAAGTTTTTTCCCGAACGCCATCACTCTGCTAAACAAATAATTCCCTCAACACTGTCAAACTATTTACTAAATCTGCACTACTATTAATCTTCTCATCGTTCCCACCACCCATCTCCTTCCACTTATGACTGTATGACTGTAACTTTGTTGCTTGTATCCTTACGATTTATATTGATATTGTTTCCTGATTGCTTATAGCTTATACCCTATGACTATCATTAAGTGTTGTACCTTACGATTCTTGATTAACCTATCTTTTCTTTTATGTACACTGACAGCATATGCACCAAGAAAAATTCCTTGTGTGTCCAATTACACTTGGCCAATAAAAAAATTATATTCTATTCTATCTATTCTAAACACCAGTCAAAGAGTTTAGATGCTTTCTTGAAGATGTTTCATAACCCAATCAGTGCTTGGGTAATGAAATGCAAGAAAACAACCAAGCTCAGAGAGCACCAAGGATCCCAAATTTCAGCCCTTCAAATATTCTCATTTATTGGTACCAGTCTAAGAGTATTGGTGTCCAGGCCATCCTTCTTAGGCTTTAAAGAAATTTGAGCATTAGTCTATCAACCAGATTGGTCTCTAGCACTTCTCATATGTCAACCACAGCAATTTTTCTCACTTATAGAAGTGAGAAGTTATATTTCTCACGTATAATTTTCATAAAAGTAGCCACAGAAATCTTTTGCAGCCTAGGAGCCAAGTGGCACCTTAAAGATAAATAATACGTGCGTCATTAAATAAGCTGTTATGGATCAAAATACACTTCATTGTGTGGACAATGATCTACACAAATGTACGCTTGAATATATTTGTTCATCTTTAAGGGTGAAAGTTCACTGATGTTTAACCTGAGTATCTGACAGTTCAGGTCCCCAAATAACTTTAGAGTACATTCCAAGTCAACCATTAAAACAACAATAAAAAAAAGAAAAAGTGTATTGTAATAAACACGTCACTCTTGACTTCTGGCCATATCGTAAAGGATACCTTTGAGCTTTGAAGAATAAATACACTAAAGTGCAAATTAAATTAAGTTCCTGAATTTTATGAGAAAGGGAAATTACATAGGTCAGGCCGTTATGGACTTTTTGCTGAAAGCAGAAAAAAAAATGAATTTATTATTTATAGCTTTGGTGACTAGAAAGAGAAGAAGAGGGAAAGAAGAGGCCCACAATGGAACCTTAAAGAGATTGGATAAAATGTAAATGCATTTATGATTTGGGGGGAAAAAAAACATTAGAAGCTGCTCCTTTATATATACAAGGCATCAGTGGTGAAATCTAAAATTTGTTAACTACCGATTCTGTGGGCGTGGCTTGGTGGGGTGGTGGTGGTAATGTGATTGGGTGGGCGTGGCTTTTTTTTTTTTTACTTTTAAACCATTTTTTCTACAACCTCTTTGGCGAAGAAAAAAATGCTTTCAAAAGCCTCTGACGATCCCAGCAGAGTTGCCTGATCGTCAGAGGCTTTTTTTTTTTTAAATGCCTCTGACAATCAGGCAACTCAGCTGGGATCGTCAGAGGCATTTAAAAGAAAAAAAGCCTCTGACGATCAGACAACTCAGCTGGCATCATCAGAGGCATTTAAAAGAAAAAAAGGATGGGGAGGGCAGGGATTTTTACTACCAGTTCTCCGAACCACCTGCCTCCATCACTACCAGATCGGGCGATCCGGTCCGAACCGGGAGCATTTCACACCTGAAAGGCATTCCTCGACTTATAACCACAACTGAGCCCAAAATTTATGTTGCTAAGCAAGGTAGCTGTTCGATGAGTTTGCTCCATTTTACAACCTTTCTTACCACGGTTGTTAAGTGAAATGCTGCAGTTATTAAATTAATAACACAGTTGTAAAGTGAATTTGGCTTCCACCTAGGGGTGAAATGCTCCCGGTTCGGACCGGTTTGGCCAAATCGGTAGCGATGGCGGTTGGTGGTTTGGAGAACCAGTAGCAATGGCAGTGTGAGGCTCCACCCACCCACCCAGTCATCATTACTTCCTGGTTTTAACCTGTTTTTTACCCTCTGCACATGTGCAGAAGAGTTTGCACATGCACAGAGGGTCCAAGCGCATACATGATGCACGGCGTCTGCACTTCTAAACTGGTTGGGAAGGTAAGTAGATTTCACCCCTGCTTCCACCCATTGACTTTGCTTATCAGAAGGTCGCAAAAGGGGTTCCCATGACCCCAGGACACTGCAACCGTCATATATATGAGCCAGTTGCCACGCGCATGAATTTTATTAACGTGACTGTGGAGATGTCGCAACGGTCGTAAGTGTGAAAAACATCCATCAGTCACTTTTTTTCCAGTGCCATTGTAACTTTGAATGGTCACTAAATGAATGGTTATAAGTCGAGGACGACCTGTATTTTTCTTTCTCTCATTTTTCTTTTTCATTTTCTTATTAATTTATCACTTTTCTTTTAGGCCTAAACTTGTTTTGTTTTTACTTTGCAAGAAAAACTCTTTTTTAAAATACAATTAATGGAAAAGAAGAAGAAAAAGAGAAACATCGCGACGATCAATGAGTTTACCGGAATCCTGTACAAAGTGCGATATCGTGTCCTCATGGCCACCGTGGGACCACAGGAACAACACTCGTCCATATCTTTGGCCACGATGCACCCCAGGCAACAGTAGCAGAAAGCTCCACACAGACCTAGGGAAGCGATCAAAGAAAACTTATCTTTATAACCTCAAGTGAAAACAATAGCAATAGCACTTAGACTTATACAGGGGTGGGCTGGTGGGGCTTCACCGGGGTTCGGGAGAACCTCTAGCTAAGATTCTGTGTGGTTCGGAGAACCCCCAAATCCCATTCCTGGCTGGCCCTGCCCAAGCCGCCCCTCCCCTCCCAGGAGTCCCCACGCGGTCTGTTTTGGATGCAGGTAAGGGCAGGATGTGCATAGAGTCTTGGGGAGGGTGAAAAACGGGCCTACCGTAAGTTTGGGAAGGCCAGAAACGGGCCCGTTTCTGGCCTCTAGAGGGCCTCCGGAGCCTGGGGAAGCTGTTTTCACCCTCCCAGGGGCTCAAGGAAAGCCTCCGGAGCCTGGAGAGGGCAAAAATGCCCCCCCCCCCGCCGGCCAGGGTGCAGGAGGCTAACTAGGCCATGCCCACCATGGCCATGCCCACCCAGCAACCGAGCAGAAAACTCCTTGCTAAAAATTTTGAAGCCCACCCCTGGACTTATATACCGCTTCACAGTGCTGTACAGCCCTCTCTAAAAGATTTACAGAGTCAGCCTACCTGGCCCCAACAATCTGGGCCCTCACTTTACTGACCTCAGAAGGATGGGTGGCTGAGTCAACCTTGAGCCTGGTGAGATTTGAATTGCCAAATTGCAGTCAGCCGGCAGTCAGCAGAAGTAGCCTGCAATACTGCACTCTAACCACTGCGCCATCGTGGCTCGTGTAGTAAATGTAAACACCATGCTTCCCTGCTTGTTCTTAGAATAGAATTCTCCAAGCGGGTGCATTCCAGAAGGGTGGGGACTACGAAATATGTAGACATGTTTAATAGCTCTAACCATGATGTCTCAGAATTACAAGAGTTGTCATCCCCACCCTTCCGGAAGACTCAACATTGGGAGAAGCTGTTTAGGAAGGCACATTTAAAGGAACAATAGACTTTCATAATAGCCTCCCGTGAGCCAGAAATTTCCAACTGCATTGTGTCACCGTTTTCAAGATCAGCAAGGTGTTCGTGACTTAGAGTTCTTGCTTATTAATATCTGGAATTATTATGTGTTAGCAAGAGGTATGTCACACTAATGGGTGTGTCACTTCAGAATTCTTACACTGCAATCACCCAGGAGAAGATTTGCAAGGAGGTATCATCCCACACTTCTTCTTCATCAGCAGGATGGACATTGCATCCTTCTGACATGGTGACGGGGAAATTCTGGGAGTTAGGTTCTCACATCTTAAAGTTTCCAAAGTTGAGAAACGCTGAGAGCAGATTGATAGATTCAGGGGTGGAATTCAAAAATTTTAGCAACCGGTTCTCTACCCGATTGCTAGGTAGGCATTGCCCTGGTGGGCGTGGCCTATTTGGCCTCCTGCACCACAGAGCGGGGTATTTTTACCCTCCCCAGGCTCCGGAGGCTTTTTTCGAGCCTCCGGGAGGACAAAAATGGCCTCCCCTGGGCTCTGGAGGCTCTCTGGAGGCCGGAAACGGGCCAGTTTCTAGACTTCTGGAATCTCCGGGGCGCCCATTTTTCGCCCTCTCAGAGCCTCTGCGCAAGTGCTGCACTTACCTGGCATCCAAAATGGGCCGTGTGGAGACTCCTGGGAGGGGCAGGACAGAGTGGGCAGTGCCAGCCAGTCCTTGCAACTACTGGTTTGGCAAACCAGATGTAAAATTAGCGGTCCGAACTGGCTGAATCCCACTCCTGGATAGACTCAATGGCTATGGGTATGTTGTTGGAAGGACCTAGTTGGAGACACTTTGCCCTGGAGAAAATCTATTTATGTGGTTGCTAAGAACTGACACCCACTTAACAACACCTAATTAATCAATTTAACTTGCTCTGAACTTCTGATTCCATCACACACTGACAGGAAACGAGTGTGGAAAATCTTTGCTCACAGAGCTGGATCAACATTTAAAGGAAGAACAATTCAGGAACAAAGCTATCAAGGATCAACTCCATCACGTAAGGATTCACTCACAGATGTTACAGTCATCGCCGCAGTCACAGAGCTCAGACTGCCACTCAAAGCTCCTTGTGGTACTGTGACATTGTGGTTGAGTGACAATAGGTGACAACTCCATTGTACCACTTGTGGCGAGGTGCTCCAATCTAGGGTGAAAAAGTAAACATCCATTAAAGATTTGCCGAAATGCCATTGGGCATTTACTATGTCTCTTTCCACCCAAATTTTCTGAATAAACTTAGTAGCTAGGATAGGGACGACCAACTTGATGTCTCCAGAGTCAAAACTGGCCTCTGAGACCTTTATTTGTGGCCCCTCCAGTGTACAAAGTTTGCACAAAGGAGGTCTTAGTGCCTCTTCTCCCCATTTTTTAACATTTACATTTAACCATAGAGAGATTGATCATCCATCAGTATGCGGTATATAGTGATATATCTCTACCCAAGGCTGAGCAGAACATGCAAGGAAAGCTTTGGCCCAGTGGTGAAATCCAATTTTTTTTACTACCGGTTCTGTGGGCGTGGCTTGGTGGGCGTGGTAGGGGAAGGATACTGCAAAATCCCCATTCCCTCCCCACTCCAGGGGAAAGGATACTGCAAAATCCCCATTCCCTCCCCACTCCTGGGGGAAGGATATTGCAAAATCTCCATTCCCACCCCACTCTGGGGCCAGCCAAAGGGGGTGTTTGCCGGTTCTCCAAACTGCTAAAAATTTCCACTACCGGTTGTCCAGAACCTGTCAGAACATGCTGGATTTCACCCCTGCTTTGACCCATTGCGTGAAGGCTTTAGGGAGACTTGTTGAAATGAAAGATATTTGCATGGAGTTAGTATTTATCCATGCAGTTTATTTATTTATTTATTTATTTATTTATTTATTTATTTATTTATTTATTTATTTATTTATTGGTTCGATTTATATGCCGCCCTTCTCCGGAGACTCAGGGCGGCTTACAATGCGTTAAGCAATAGCCTTCATACTTTTGTATATACATGTTCTTGTCTGATGCCAAATTAGTTTAATCTGGGGCTCTAAATGAGGAATGCTCCTTTTGAAGGAGTCGATATGCAATCTGGGAATTCTCCTGGATATCCATAGACCCTTCAAATCCTGGACATAAACTGTTCTAACTCCTCTCCTCAGGACGGCGCTCTAGGGCATTGCATGCCAAAACAACTAGAAATGAAGACAGTGTTTTCCCTCGTGCCATCACTCTGCTGAACACCTAAATTCCCACAGCCCTGTCCTATATCTAAGGATGTTACCCATGTAATGGGGCTGTATTACTATTATGCTTCTCGTCTTTTCTAGTACCTTCTCCTACTGGTATCTTATGTTTATATTACTTTGTTATTAATTGTATGTACACTGAAAGCTTATGTATCAGAGACAAATTCCCTGTGTGTCCAATCACACTTGGCCAATAAAGAATATTCTATTCTATTCTATTCTATTCTATTCTATTCTATTCTATTCTATTCTATTCTATTCTAATTCTATTCTATTCTACCTACCCTAACCTACCCTACCCTAAACCTTATTCCTATATTCTATTCTATTCTATTCTATTCTATTCTATTCTATTCTATTCTACTACCCTACCCTACCCTACCCTACCCTACCCTACCCTACCCTACCTATTTTCTATTCTATTCTATTCTATTCTATTCTATTCTATTCTATTCTATTCTACCCTACCCTACCCTACCCTACCCTACCCTACCCTACTCTACCATACCCTACCTTATTCTATTCTATTCTATTCTATTCTATTCTATTCTATTCTACCCTACTCTATTCTACCCTACCCTACCCTACCTTATTTATTCTATTCTATTCTATTCTATTCTATTCTATTCTATTCTATTCTATTCTATTCTATTCATCACTCTTGCTGGATCAACAGGTAGAAGTCCTGTCCAAGAGAACAATGTCTCTCTCTAAATATCTCTCTCCCCTTCCTTTCAAGATTCCAAACCATATGCAACAATTACAAGCCACACAAGTGTTCAAATAAACTGTTCCCAGCAGGAACTGAATCATACAAAATTCTATGACCATAAAATTGTAAACACTGTAAAAGCAATCAAATGGGACATTTATTGCATTCTCCACACCCTCTCTGGAATCACTCAGCCTTCCACCCAATTTTGGCTGAAATCTTTTCTGAAGCAAGATGTGCTGACCACAATGATTCATGCAGGTATCCTCTTGCATTGGACTACTATCATTTGCTTTATCTGGGACTGCCCTTGAAGGCTGCTTGGAAGTTACAGCTGGTGCAAAGTGTGTCTTTTCACAGGAGGAAGCTGTTATAGCAGAACAGCATGAATGTTATGTAAGCTGTACTAGCTGCTGCTTTGTTTCTGAGTCCAATTCAAAGTGCTGGCAATTTGCAAAACTATCTCATTCGTGTGGAATTTATTTGCAAGCTGAGAAGGTATACTGAAGACTATGCTCCTTCTCTGACCATCTGAAGCGCTTGTGGTAGACGTTCGACACGTAGAAGACAAGTATAGGTAAAAGGTAAAGGTTCCCCTCGCACATATGTGCTAGTCGTTCCCGACTCTAGGGGGCGGTGCTCATCTCCATTTCAAAGCTGAAGAGCCAGCGCTGTCCGAAGTCATCTCCGTAGTCATGTGGCATGACTCAATGCCAAAGGTGCACAGAACGCTGTTACCTTCCCACCAAAGGTGGTCCCTATTTTTCTACTTGCATTTTTTATGTGCTTTCGAACTGCTAGGTTGGCAGAAGCTGGGACAAGTAACGGGAGCTCACCCTGTTACGCGGCACTAGGGATTCGAACCGATGAACTGCCGATCTTTCGATCGACAAGCTCAGCGTCTCAGCCACTGAGTCACCGCGTCCCTAACTGAAGACAAGTATAGCCATTTTCAAATAAAACCATGTCATTCCAGATGATGGAAACCACAAGAAAGCTGCAAAGAACCCCAGAAGGATTTCTTCAAATTCTATCTGATTATCATTTGATCTGATAACTTACAGCTCAACCTTTGTTGATGAAAGACTTTGACTTGACCATGTCTCAGTTTGGTCTAAATTGGGGTAGGCAACTACCGGTATGCCAACTTTAGGATCTGTTCAATTCCCAGCATTCCAGCCATGCTGGCTCAGGAATTCTGGGAGTTGAAGTCCACAAGTCATAAAGTTACCATAGTTACCTAACTAAATGATCTCTGTTGGCTTTTGTCACTAGATGATTTAATTACTTCTTTTTCCCTGGTCTTTGGAAGGAGGGGACCTTCCTCAGCTTGAGTTCTTGGCTAGCATGGCTAAAGAGAATTGCATCCCTAACCTATGTGGAGAGTCACCATATTAATTCTTCCTATCTTGACTTTAGGAATAGAAGAGGATTCCCCTTGGGGAAGGTGTTATCAATTAGCATGCATGCTATGTTCTTCTTTATTGCTAAAATGATTTGAACTTTGTTGACCTACTTCTAGAACTATTCTTCTGGTCGCAGCCTCTGTCTTCGATCTGGCTAAGTAAGAAAAACCAACTTCTTCATCTGAGTTCCTAATTTTCTTCCAAGTTTCTGCTTTTTTTAGAAATGCTTTCTGTTTTGTTGTTTATGTTGAGGAGCACAGGACTGCCTTCGGAAGAACTCGTGGGTTTCCAGAAAAGGCAAAAAGTGCTTAGCTTTACTGGAAATCTTATGAAGTAGGCCAAGTCAGGGAACAAACCCAATACTTTCTTGGTCCTAGAAGTTCTTCCCAAAGATTGGAACAGCAAATAACCACTCCAAATCCTTTAATGGAAGAATCCTTGATTTTCTCCATGGAATTCTAGCGTTTTTTAGGGTGCAAGATGAAAATTACTATGGATGTCTGGTTGCATGATAATTGTTTAGTTGCTAAATTGTGTCCTTGTGACCCAATGGATCACAGCACACCAATCGCCCCACCCCCCATCCTCTACTATCTCCCAGAGTTTGCCAAACCCATGTTCACTATGTCGATGACACTCTCTAACCATTTCCTCTTTTCCTATCCCCTTCTCCTTTTGCTTTCCATCTTTCCCAACACCAGGGTTTTTTTCCAACTAGTCCTCTCTTTTCATTTGGAAGCCAAAGCATTTGAGAGCTTCAGCTTCTGTGGCATGGTAGATATTAATCTCATGTAAGCCTTACAACATCTTCTGCATCTTCAAAATACAGCAGCGTTGTCATTCTTGCTTCGTGAATATTTGAAGCATTGGTCTGAAAAGCCACTGAAAAGTTTCTCCAAAGCTGGCTTGGGGCTACATTTTTATTTATTTTATTTTATTTTATCTTATCTTATCTTATTTTATCTTATTTTATTTTATTTTATTTTATTTTATTTTATTTTATTTTATTTATTTAATTTTGTCAAGCATATATATAAGATAACAGGTAAAAGTATAAACATAATTTGAATACATGAAAAGAGTAAGTAAAAAGGAATATTAGGACAGGGACAATAGGCACGCTGGTGCACTTATGCACACCCCTTACAGACCCCTTAGGAATGGGGTGAGGTCAACAGCAGACAGTTGAAGGTTAAAGTTTTGGGGGTTGGGGGAAGAAACCACAGAGTCAGGTAGTGCATTCCAGGCATTGACCACTCTGTTGCTGAAGTCGTATTTTCTGCAATCGAATTTGGAGCGGTTTACTTTAACTTTGTATCTATTGTGTGCTCGTGTGTTATTGTGGTTGAAGCTGAAGTAGTCATTGACAGGTAGGACATTGTAGCAGACAATTTTGTGTACTACGCTTAGGTCAGACCGAAGGCGGCGTAGTTCTACGTTGTCTAAGCCCAAAATTTCAAGCCTGGTGGCATAAGGGATTCTGTTGTGAGCAGAGGAGTGGAGGACTCTTCTCGTGAAATACCTGTGGATATCCATCAGTCTACTGAATTGGACAACTTTGAGTGTTATAGTCCAAACCACCAGGTAGTCACCAGATTGGGGAAGACTCTTGCCGGTGATTGTAGTTGTGTAGCTCCTGATTTGCCTCATTTCATTTATTTTTGGCATTGGATTTTAACAAGCAATGTATTTGATTAAGTGTAATCACCCTGAGCTTCTGAGATGCTGTAGTCCAGGGGTGGGTTCTACTTATCTTTACTACAGGTTCGTAACGGGATTGCCGCAGATCACCTATGAT